AAGCGAGCCTTCCAAAAAAGTATTGTAAAATAATATAAAAAATTTTTTTATCAATTGTGTAACAATTTTGTGACGTTCCCCCTGTTTTAATCTATAAAAACGTCATATTACATACAATTTTATGATGATCGGTGAAAATTTATCCCGCGCTTGTTATATTTCAAAGTCGTCAGTTATATTTTTTTTTTTTTAGAGAAAAATTATAAAAGACCAAGATGTTGAATAATATAGCTTTTTCTTTAAATAATTTTATAATTTGTAAATTCTGTAAAAAAATTAATATTACGGTGTTAAAAATTAATAAAATTAATAAAAATTAATAATAATTAGCAAGAGCAAAAAACAAAAAAAAAAAAGAATATAAAAAATGGTACAAACTCAATCTTCTCCACATGTTGAAATAAAATTTGAACATCAACCGACGTTAGAATCAGATGCAAATGAAAGCATAATATCTACAAAAAATGTCAATGATCAGGAGGCTCAGACCGTCGAAAATGATGGCTTATTACATGGGATTGAATTATTTTTGGTTATAATTGGGTTCGTTAGTTAACTCTTGCAATTCTTTTACACGCTCAGATTATCTGTTTATATTAATTTAGTTTTTTATTTATGATAGTCTTGGTTGTTCCGTATTTTTAGCCGCGTTAGATCTAACGATCGTTGCGACCGCCTTACCTAAAATAGTTTCCGACTTTAATGGGTTAGATCAAATAGCGTGGGTCGCAACTTCTTATCTACTTACAACGGTAATTGATTTTAATAGATGTAGATATTTTCCTTCCGTTTTGGACTATAGAACATGTGTGACTCACGTGACTCACGTGACTCACGTTGTCAACTTAGACTTCCTTTCAACCAATCTATGGAAAATTATCTGATATTTTTGGTCGTAAAGTTACATTCTTATTCGCAATTACTATCTTTGAATTGGGCAGTTTATTATGCGGTGTTGCTTCTAATATGGTATTGTCATTTTTTGTTTTTCAATTTTAAAAAATACACGTTACATTAACATGTCTTAACACATCTTAATTATTTTATTATTTAGGTTTCAATGATAATATACCGTGCCATCGCTGGTATTGGAGGTGGTGGTGTCATTGGGTACGTACTTGTCGCAACATTGATTTTTAACCAAGTTTTATGCAAGCTAATAAAGAAAAATTTTTTTTTTGTTTTATAGAATTGTTTTGATTATTATTTCAGACATTGTCAGCACTAAAGATCGAGGAAAATACCAGGGCATCGTCGGCGCATGCTATGGTATTGCTTCCGTAGTTGGACCGCTCATGGGTGGTGCATTTACTGATCATATTAGTTGGAGGTATGTAAATTTATATGAGAGGGTGACCTAAAACTTTAGTCATATTACATTGTATCAACCATGAATTTTTTTTCACCATAAAATTTACTTTCAAAATAGATGGTGTTTCTTCATCAATCTTCCTCTAGGTGCAATGACAATAGTTGCTATAATTTTTTTTCTACATATGAAAATGCCAACTGGTTCATTACTTGGCAAATTCAAGAGAATTGATTTTATTGGTATAATTATAATGATCGCATCAACTGTTTGTATCTTATTACCTCTTAATTGGGGAGGTAGTACTTATGCTTGGAATAGTCCAGTGGTTATAACGCTTTTTTGTGTTGGTGCCGTTGGTTACGTAATATTCGGTCTTGTTGAATGTTACGTAGTTTTTGAACCTGTTGCTTCACGTAAGTATTCATAGTTTGATTTATTGTCATTTGAATGGGTTATTATTATAACTGATCTATCTTTATCATTATATTTTAATAGCACATTTATTTAAAAGTCTTAATGTAGTTTCATGTTTCAGTACTTCCTTTTTTCAAGGAATGGTATTCTTTAGTTTGATTTTTTATATTCCTCTTTTCTTTCAAATTATTAAAGAAGTTTCAGGCAAGTCTCTTTTATCGATTAATTCTTATCCCTTACTAAACATCAAATAAATTTAACATTCAGTTTTTTAAATAGCCTCACAATCCGGAGTAGATTTCATGCCTTACATTCTTGGTGTAGTAGCATTCTCAATCACATCCGGTCAAATGTTCTCTCGCACTGATAAAATATCATTTCGATATGTGACTTTATTTGCCGCATCATTGTCAATAATCGGTGGCGGCCTAAGCACCACGTGGAGTGAAAACACGAGAATTGGTGAATTAATAGGATATATGATATTAAGTGGTGCTGGTGTTGGTATAAGTATTCAATCTATTATATTATGCGTTCAAGGATTGGTTGAGCATAAAGATATAGCTTCTGTTACTACTTTAACACTATTCTTTAGAAGTAGTGAGTATTCAAATATATATATATATGTATACTTTGTTTTTTTTTTTGTAAACCTATTTTACTAATTCATTATTTATAATTTTCTCTTTAGTTGGAGCTGTTTTTGGAATTGCAATATCAGGAACAGTGTTTAATAATAAGATTTCGCAAGAACTAAATACAATAACTTTACCTTCATATTTTTCAACACAATCTGTATATACTATACAATTATTACCACCTGATACAAAGTCTTTGGTTATTCACGCTTATGTGTCAGCATTTCAATCTATTTTTTACTTTATAATACTTTATGGTGCATTGATGTTTATTTCTGCTTTGTTTATGGGAAATAGTAAACCTAAATATAATGAAGGTGATGAAAAAGTTGCTACATTTGAATAGTTTAAAAAAATTTGTAAAAAATAAATTGCACGTAATTAAAAATATTATCATCATGTCTTGGATTTCAGTGCCCGGCGGGGAGTTTGTAGTGCTGGGGTTCGGTTATGTTCAGGGTAGAGATGTGAACTGTGAATTACAGTACATATAAATAAACTGTAGTTTATTTTAAAAATATAGTTTTACAATAAATTACAGTTTATTCTTATTAACTAATAGTTTACGGATCGCACCTCTAGTACAGGATCATGTTTGGATGAGATAGTGCGTGTGGCTGGATAATTCTTTGGCCGATTGGTTATAATATATAACGTTTTTTGTCTAACTTGGCTATTAGTTAGTTACGTCTTATTAATGTTGTGCTAGGTAGATATGGAATATTTGTAGATTCAGAATTAATTTAATTTGACTTCGTACAATTGTCAGTATTTAACGATGCTCAACTTGAGATATCAATATGAGACAAATTATTTAATGATTTGATTCAATAAATACTTTTAAAGAAAATCTTAATCTTGCCAACCCAACTATCATGTGGGTGGCGCCACCAATGTTCAATATTCACAATATGCAAATATGCAATGCAGGTCAATATAGATCTAGTACAGATTCGTCTGCTACAATTGCTGCAGGCGATGCTTCTCACATGCCCGTAATTTCGATGGCCTCCCTGGTCGTGTTCCAAACAATAATATTATTACCTCAATACGGGATGCATCCACATTTACCTAATAAGTATAACGTTCAATTATATGGTAATAATAATCCAAAATATGTAAAATTCGAATTTCTATCAACGTAACAATATCTATCCGAAACTAGCTTCGAATAGTTTTAATTCTAAACTAGTTTAGGATTTTTTAAAAAAAATTAAAACTCCGCAACCAAACTATACTTCGAAATTTTAAATTTATTATTATATTTTTTTTTTATAATGGATTTTTTCAAAATCCTGAAATTCGATTTTTTGTTCGGAAAATAGAACATTTAAAGGATGTTTATTGGATGAATGTGTTTTTTATACGTTTTTTATATGATAATTTCAATCAAAAATTTTCTATTTTTTACATCCCGTTGAAAACAGTACTTCTGTTCGGAAAATCGATTCCGTTCCGAACATTTTTTTGGACAATGCCTACAATAGCTGTACAAACCTTTTTTCTAGAGCATACGTACGTAACAAAATTTGGATATTTATACAGTTGACCCACCTCCCAAATACTATGTGCCCAACTGTGTGTTTGTATAGGAGGACGGCTCTATTAAATTTTTATTATGCTATATAACTCTCTATTTCATATTAAAATTGCAACCTAACCCTAAAAAAATAGAGGTAGTTAAATCACCCCGTTTAAAAATAGTTATTATTATTTTTTTTTTATTTATAATTATATAATTTAACTTGTGTCGAAATTTACTCAAATTTTTCTGGTAATTTACAGTGGTAATTATAAATAATGCAGCAAAAAAATTGGTAGATAGTATTATTTCAATTTAATAATTATTATACGACAGGGTGAAACCTGTGATGCCTGCTAGTAAAATTCGCGTTGATTGGTTAATTTATGCAAAATCCATGTTATCAGTTATTTTATGTAAAACCTGAGATGGATATGTAAAATTGTTGGTGGCAAAACCTCCAAAATTTGCTGTGTTGAATTCAATGCCATAAGGCCTGAAAATGTTACCAAATCCTGATTCATTGTGCCAAAGAATCCGTGAAGAAATCATTTCCATAAAGCCCTAAGACCACAAAACCTTAGGTTTGGGCAGTTTTAAGAATTGTAAACAATTGTAAGCCTGAGGAGGCAAAATGATTAATATCATGAGTAGATAGTGAAATGGCATAATGGGCTTGGGTCTAAAAGTTTTATTTTGTTCTTTTTTTTCTTTCTCCCCCTGCATGTAAAATTGTATAAAAAGAGCTTGTTCTGCCCTCTATTAAAGAAGAACAAGTGTTTTGTAGAAATAATATTTATACTTTTTTGTGGCTAACTTTTTTCAAATAAACTATCTAATTTTTTGGGTCCATTATAATATTCTTATTACTCTCAATATATCTGATTTAGCCTTACCTTGCCAAACCAAACTACTTCTAACTATTGAATATATGTATTGTCATGGTGATTGAATAGTTTATATTGTTATCTAGCTTTTATCGACAATATGTAAATCAAATAATAGGGTGAAACCTATAATCAAAATAAAACTTGAGTAAAGATATCTTAACAACCACCTGATCAAATTTTATAAAATTTTTTTATTTAAATTTTATAAATCTGTAAAATTCAAATTAGTAATTTTGGTCATATAGTTGTCAAGATATCTTTACTCAAAGGTTTAACAAAATCAAAATATTTATCAAAGTAATTAACCATAGCTGCTACAACAAAATTGTCATAGCAGATTAATCTAGGTGAGTCTTGACCACTCTAGTAGATTTAGGTTGCAGATAATTGGTTTGAGTCTTTAGTTTTCTATAGTTCAATCTTTTAGTCTAAGCTCTTATTCTTGCATATAATTTATATCTATTTGTCTTGTACAAGTTGGGTTTTTATTATAATTACCTAAATAAATTATAAAGATATGAGCAAGGCCTCATCTAAACAACAAAAAAAAAATTGGCATAGCAAATTTTAATTTTGATTGGCTATACTATGTGTAATAATTATTAATATTTGTTTATTTTGTAGTGATAATTTTTTAACAACTACCATATTTTACAGTCTAAAGTATCCTCCTAAAAAATTTTTACTAGTCTATGCAGATATTTAAATAGTGTATATCAAGTATTTATTATTGTATTATGTGTAACTTTTGATTATTATCTATTTATATGTTTAAATTTATTAAAAAAAATGAAAAAAATATTTACATAGTTTTAAGAATGCTTAATTTATTTTATCAAAAGTTTTGTCAAAAAAAAGAATATTTATCAAATTTTACAACAACTAAATGCACATTTAATTAGACTTGGTTCAGTTAAATCTCATGCAATTTTAATATATTTAGCAAGAAGCGCATATAATAATTATTTAATACACCCAGATGGAGTTAGTTCATGAATTGTATCTAATATCTAGTGATTGTAAAGTATACAGACTTTTACTTTAAAATTTTTATTAATATAAATATCCAGAGATTATAATTTAAATATTAAACCACCAGAAATTATGGCTAGATCTGTATTATAGATAGAAAATTGAAGTTTGACCAGATTAACTATATGTGTATAAAATAAATTAAGAATCAAAAGAAAATTTAGATTATTAGAAGCTCTTTTGGTCCAGATATTTTCTATCCATAATACAGATCTAGCCATAATTTCTGGTGGTTTAATATTTAAATTATAATCTCTGGATATTTAT